CTTTATAGAATATCATAACTTCAATAATTACCAATCATTTTTCGAATTTCCCATGATCCAGTCAAGGAATTCTAACCAGGACTTGATTCATGAATGAAATAAACATTTTATGACTAGGTACATAACTCTGCACCTATTAGCGATTTTAGGCTCGTAAGAAAATTGTCATTTAAACAAACTTGAAGTCACTCCCTTATCAATTGCTTTCTTTCATATCTTTCTGGGCAAATGGCATTTAAACTATAATTTTTATGAAACAGAAAACAAAAGTCAATGTATTGTAAAACCAAGACTAAAATAAAACCACATTACAACTCACTAATGGAAGTCATTATTATCTATTTGTGCAGCGAGCTACTTATTATAGTTAATTATATGACAAATATTCTCTTTAGTATTTGAGATCCTTATAAATTCCATAATTGCATCAAATGTATTGCTATATTAGCATGCAATATGTTAGATCTACTTGCTAACCTAAATACAATTGTAAATGGTAGTACTATAATTGAAAATACTAGTAATATATGAAAAATACAATTACTTTTTATAGTTCTTTCTTGTACTACCATAGTGTGGGTTTTAATTACCACAAACAATATAATTATCTTAATCTTAAAATCGATAGCTATAGGAACGGTTGGTTGAGCCTGTCACCGCATATATGTTACACGTTAAATTTTACATCGATACATTAACGACATACACTATATTTGTATCTATGTAATAAGTACCTACTTAGTCTTGATAAAAACATGCGGATTAAAAAACAAATTAGGTAAGTATATACAAGGTGTTGTTTTAAATTTAAAGCCGCGTCATTTTCTAGGAGGTAATTCGGCTATCGATTCTGATTCCGAATCAATAAAAAAATTTTACTTAAATATTTTTCATTTTTCTGTAAATTACGGAAATCCGTAAGCGCGAACTACACGCCGCCGTCTTGGAACTAGTTTTGTAACACACAAACTCAAACACGTAGGTAATTGATATTATTCCTAATTCCATAAAACTCCAATAAGAAACATTGCTGCCGCTTATTCTGAAATATTGTCGAACTTAAACGATTTATTATAGCCGTATTTTTAACTATTGACCCGAAACTTTCTTTTACATTGAACCTTTATGACTTCTGTGACATGCCCCCGATATATGCCACGGTTTCAAAACTACACCTTGTAGCTTAACTTATCTTTTTGGCTATACATATAACTGGTCTGATAATTATTATATACTAGTGACCCGCCCCGGCTTCGCACGGGTGCAATATGCATGTATTATACATACAAACCTTCCTTAAGAATCACTCTATCTATTAAAAAAACCGCATCAAAATCCGTTGCGTAGTTTTAAAGATCTCAGCATACATACGGACATACAGCGAAAGCGACTTTGTTTTATACTATGTATTGATATTATATTACAAATAAGCAAGTAACTAGGTATACTAATCCAACCCTTTCACGCCAAAGAATGATGTTACATTGTTTATCAGACGCATAACAAATTACCAACATTCTGTTAGTGGTACAAAATAAGACCATACAATTACATAGATACCTCATATACATGTACATGTATATGTTCCTTTGTTTAATTTCAAAACAAAAGTATCTTTTATGACGTCCCAACATACGGTTGCTAGCAGCAGTTCACCTGGTCATAGTATGATGGCTTTATTATTTTATGATTTTCAAATATACTTCAAGCTAATATAGCGTTTACTTTGCATTAAATGAAGCTATCTCTTATTAAAACGTTTTATTGTTTCGTTAGAACTCACGTGTCTATTATTTTATATACTTTCATGCTATTTGACATCATGGCACACGTGCACCGAGTGTTAAAATTGAGATAAAAATTACAAAGACTTTATCTATTTGAATTGCTTAGAGTTTAGAGCAAAAAACAAAGCATTCAATTATCTTTTGCTTTTTTTGTTATATTTATAAAGCTGAAAAGTTTGTTTGTTTGTTTAAACGCGCTAATCTCCGGAATTACTAGACCGATTTGAATTATTTTTATGTATTGGATAGTCTGTTTATCGAGGAAGGCTATACAGTATAAAACATCACGCTACAGTCAATAGACGCGCAGCAGAGTGGGTGAAACCGCGCGGACGTAGCTATAGTGTATATAATATAAGATATTCGACCTTTTTACACGCTCTTTTGTTAGTTCGTTCTGTAACGAATTAAGTACTAAAATCGAAGAATCTGAATTATACACACTTTCAATTGTTGTATTATCACAAAACTTGGTAGTCACATGTTGATTAGAGGACCATACTATATTATGGTTTGATAATGGGATTGGGTGACAGGTGACAATTTAAATCTTGGGCCACCAACTTGCAATCATGTATTGTGTTTGGACTCATTAGATAGTATTACAATTTCTCTAGAGAGATTCTTTTCAAGTAAATTTATGGATTACAGGAACCAAAACTACATTCTAGTCGATCGACTACAATGAAATCGATGACTGCGAGGCTTCAGAAAACGATACGTTCTGTTACTGGTCGAAGGAAAATCATTAGAGCATCCCTAACCGGACCAGATACTTTAAATGAAAATGTATGAAATTTATCTTTACCTATGGCAAATAAACTTAATATTCATTTCATGAATAAACTACTGAAAAAACTAACTTTTGTTTATTAACCTGTGAACTTTCGGAACGCAGATCTATGCGAGACACAGTGTAAGTATTTTCTATTGTGTCTCATATATCGACAGACAAAAGGTTAATGCGAGTTTAAGCCCACCTTGTCTGATAGTCAAAATATTACCTGTCTTTAGCCTCGAGGTGCACGAACGTGTAAGATACAGGTTATTTTCGAGAATCTTAAAGGTGACTCAATTGTCCAGACAATAACTCAGTTTTCGTAATCTTACTTAGAATTTAAGAATAAATTTGATCTTTATTGTCCTGTTGCAACGTAGGAGTCGTCTTTTGTTTCAAAAAAAGAACATGTTTATGTCTACGACGATAGATAAGCCAAACAATAAAACTAGATACAATAATATTCAATAATCTTACTAATTATATTGAATAA